GCATTTCATTGAATTAAGTTTTTACAATTAATTGTAAGTTTATTTATATAAATTTATAAAATGCAAGTTAATCGTTTAAAATACTTATTTCTATATAAATATACAGAACAATTAAAAGTAAATTGAAATGTTAACCTAAATCGGAATGTCCTTTTTTAAAAGTTAGTAAATATGTTATAATTAGTATTAATGTATTCTATAATTATAGCTTAAAAAGAATATCGCAAAATAAAATTCCACTAGAATCAGAATATTCTGTTAAATCCAATTATATCATTTACAAAACAGATATTCTTGTATATTTTTGATAATAAATACAATAAATTGATTAGTAATATTTAAATTGAATCTATTGATGTTCACTGATTCATGTTTGTATGTGAATAATTTGAAATCAGTTTAAACTTTGTTAGTAATATTAACATCTACTGTATTTAATACTATAAGATTTTTTGTTTTTATACAATATATGCCATTTACAATATAAGTTATATGATGGATATAATTGGATTTAACAGAATATTCTGATTCTAGTGGAATTTTATTTTGCGATATTCTTTTTAAGCTATAATTATAGAATACATTGATACTAATTATAACATATTTACTAACTTTTAAAAAGGGACATTCCGATTAAGTCATAAAATAAATATATATTTTTGTGGAAAATATAAAACATATTCTCTTAGTCTTCAAAATTATTAGTCGACTAAAAATACATTCAATAATAATATGAAATGGAAATAACATTTAAAACATAAATAATTTGAGTTTAAATACAGACGAGAATTAATAAAATAGATGTGAAATACAATCACATTTTGTTGGTCCACTTTTGCGCACAAGTATTTTCTGACGTTTTGCTGTCAAATAATATTAAATTAAAAACTGATTTATTTATAGGTAATAAAAATGGTATAAACTATTTGTTCACCTCTAGTGTGTGTCAGTTGGAACTAAACGACTGAAGTCTGCGTTCAATTTCCAGAGAGTCTCGGCTGAGTCGACGGCATAATACTTATCCCCCTCTCGAAAGGCGCCGATAATATCTTTTACGTCGATGGGATGGACGCTGCCGTCCACTTCTTCTTCAACTTCTTCTTGAATATCCGCCACTTATTATGACCGCATTTGCCAATCAATACGATTGTGTTATCCTTTTCCACATACAAAGAGGCCGTATATTTCTTCACACTTTGCATACATATATAGAAATACACAGAAATATACTGTAATTACTATTTTGAATATACTCTGAATGTAAATGAGATTCAAAACTCCAAACCCGTTCTCATCGTATGGGTAGTCGACGCCCGGCCACGAACTTCGGGGTATGGAGTGGTTGGCCCTCATCTCGTAGGCGTAGCCACCGATGGTGTTGTCAAAAGTGAACGAATAGTCGGCTGTAGTTCTGACCATTGAGTAGACCTGAGAGTCGCTCCCGGCCACGAACTTCGGGGTATGGAGTGGTTGGCCCTCATCTCGTAGGCGTAGCCACCGATGGTGTTGTCAAAAGTGAACGAATAGTCGGCTGTAGTTCTGACCATTGAGTAGACCTGAGAGTCGCCACCAGTCTTGTAGTAGAAGAGGAAAGCCGTCATTTTCATCCAATCGTTGAATCGACACATCTCTGGGTCTGCCGTCCGGTCGCACGTCTTCGGGATATCCTTCACCGTAAAGAGTGTCTGAATTGACTTTATATTCAAGTCTTTGACTAAACGGATGTCAAAGAAACGATTGAAATGAATATTTAGACAAAAGTGGAATCGGATGTTAGTCTGTGATCCGGGGACATGGAGTTCGTTTCGCACTCTACCAAAGGGTACAATAGTCCAGAACTCGTCTTTTCTCAACACATAGACTGTCTCCAAGTGGTTGAAGATGGCTGTGATCTTGTCTGCAGTCGTGGTGAACGGACAGAGAATCGTCGGTGACGTCTGCGACAAGACATTTGTGACACTTATAAGAAGGAGGTATTGAAACTGATTTGACATTTGAATGAAACACTGCTTTCAGTGAAGACAGGAATCAGAGAATCAGTGAATAAGTGAACAAATTATGTGTAAATTTAATCGAAATTCAAATTCTAGTTAAAAATGACAACAACTGTAAGAATCGCGAGAAGAGATGACAGCAAACAATACTTTCACTTCATTTGAGTGTCTGATGACTTGGATGTGATAAGTTGTAATGTTTTACAAATAGTTTTACAAAGTTCACAGTTTATTATACTTTTAAGGAAATTGTAATATTTATATTTATATTTTCGTTAGTTACAAATTTCTACACTGGTAAACATATTGCATATAATTATAACTACGTTATATACTATATAATTATTACTACTCCAATATAATTATACAATTTTGAACGAAAAACTCAATAAACTTTTATTTTGATCATAAATTTTGATTCATAAAAATTGCCAATTTAGTAGCATAGAAATAACAATTGTAAAAATACACTCAAAATCCCAAACTTCAGTAAATGGTTGAAATCAAAGTAGAGATTGAGTATAATTACATCCAGGATAAATATTGAACCGATAAATAGTTTGATTATGAGCTCAATCATGAATCTCAATCTTCTTATTAATTGAATGAAGAAATTCATATCATATTTGTTGTCAATTTGAATGACATTCATTGATTTGAATCCTTTCACATGAATAATAATTATGAAAATATTGACACTATTTTGGTGTTTAAACAAATAGATTATAAAGAGTTGGAAGAATGCAATGATGGCTAACATCAAGAATAAGAACTTAGATATTCCTCCGATATATTGCGCTAAATCTAAATAATAATAATCCATAGTTATAAGCATATTAAGATACGGTACATACATTTATACGGTAGTTATATTTAAATAAGTTATCAATTATTGTTTGCTAACCACTTGTGCGTAAAAGTAATGTAAAATAAAGTGAAACTTTTGGTAAATAAATAAATTTAATGAATTCATGAAAAATAACGAGTTATGAGAGAAGTGTTTGTAAAGTATAGGTTCACTGAGTCTATGATTCGTGGCGTTTGGTGACAATGAAGTCTTTGTGCGCGACTCGGATGGTGATGGCGATGGAGAATATGATGATCACTACAGCACTGAATGTGGACAAAAACCAATACATAAATCCCATGGAATCGTTGTCCATATAAAGACAAAACACAATCCAAGACAATGGAAACAAACGCATTATAATCAGCGATACTACGAGACAATCGGTGGTGAAAACAGGAAAAGTCAGTGAAATGGGAATCAGATTAGAGATAATGGTCTCACTTATGGTGATAACACTATTGAACCGATAGGTTGTGCTCTTACGGAGACCTCTCATAAAGAGAAGTTGTCTTAAATGCGCGAATATGTTAGAGATCTCGACCACCAGTGCTATCATACAGCAGCCGATGGTGAGGATGTGGTGCACTATTATCTCCTTACGGCAGACATCTCTGAACACCAAGACATCATATCTAAGGCTAGACTCGCATCTAATAACAGACTTTTCCGACAAATTAGTCACTAATTAGTGAACATTAGGCGTCAAATGAGTGCAAACTTGCGCTAAGAGTCCCCAAAAGGCGGTTATGAATGAGTGCACCAATGATATGGAGATATTCCTCCACTTCCAGAACTGGTACTCATTGGTGACCACCGATTGGGGCGCCGTATAGGCCGTCGTCTTCAGCACTCCATTCAATTGTCTCAAAGCAATGGCTGTCGTGAAGGTGACTATCAGTCCGTACTGTTCCGTCACTACAGTCATCGTCAGTCTATGGACTCGATTGTGGTGACAATCAGACAATGACTGAATGGTTGTCGTTCACTGCTTCACACATTCAACGGGTTTTGGGTCCGAATTGAAGGCAATGTGTGTTTGTGTCGAGCATTGAGTCCAACATTGAGTCCAACAATGCTTTCGGACATCAATTCATGCCTTCAATCAAACGCTAATCAAACTAATCATTGGTTTCGCGAAACTAACGGTGAGTCCAAAGTTTCGCAAAACTGTTTCATATATACAGTGATAGACCTCTCGTGGCTCTCATCCACACTAAACACACACTCTATCACTCAATAATAAAGTTACAGTAATTGAGGGGAAGGGAGACTATAAGCCGCTACAGTATAAGCTATAGCTATGCAGTGAATGTGAGGGACATTATGAGACAAAAGTGACAGACTTTGTGGACATTCATGAGAATTGGCGCACATTTTGGGTTTGCATTAGAGATTTGGAGACCAATTGGTGACTGCATTGAATGCATTCATCAAATCACGTGCTCAACACAAACCATTCATTACAAGAAGATCTGCTCTCTTAATGATCACTGAATCCGTGACAATGGCTTCAAATACCCGGATATTGGTGTCCAATCAGACAGTGACTGCACCGGCGATGGACTACTGGTTTGGCATTGGGTTGGGAGTGAAGACAATCGCAGACTTGAAGGCACTTCTGGCGGCAAATGAAGGCCTTTCGCCACAAGAAGTGCATCTCTTCCTCAAGAATGGCTTTCTCAGGGATGAGACAAATGTGAGTATTCTTCGCGAGGAAGACGTGGTTTCCATTAAACGAAACACTCGTTTGAACACCAATTGCGGCCATCAATTGGTCATCACTTCGATGAGTGTGTAAGCAATCCATTGATCACTCATTGTCACCGATATCTCATAAAGTCTTGTATCTGTGAATCAGTGCTGTCAATACTGTTGAGTCGTTCCCACCGGACGTCATAATCACTCCAATCCAGGAGCTGCAGGAACTGTCCATCACTTGCAATCCCGTGTCCAATGGTGTGGACACGTCTCGCAAGACACCGAAGAGGAGCCGAAGAACTCTGGTTGTGGCCAAAAGCAAGCGATTCCGGTGTGAGGAACAGGATTGCGGCAAAACCTATACCCATAAGAATCATCTGCAGAGACACTGGTCTGAGAAACACAGCAATCAGTCACTGCCTTAAGTCACAGCCAAATATCACATTCAATACGATATTTGTTTGGATTTTATGAATTTTTCCATAAATTAAATACATTTTAATAACTAATGAATAGTTTTTTGATTCAGAGTATTATCTGACAATTTAATTTAATTTATAATTTAAGTTTTAATGTTTAACTGTACTGAGAAATTATAGGAACTTTACCTTTACATTACCTGTGCATTACCGTAGTCTCAATGTACTTGTACCGTATTACCGGTATTGAACATTTTATTTCATTTTTTACAATATTACCAAATCTCAATGTAAACCTTAAATTTAATTAATATTATAATACATTTACAAAATTGAAATTGCTTGGAGTACAAAACTTGTTTTTTATATTTTAATTTAATGAATAATAAAGTCAATGTTAGTTTACACAATATTAGAAAATTAATTAAATTGCTTGCATACACATAAATTATGTGACATAATCATAAACTGAATTTTTGTTTGCATATTAACATAATAATGTAGACATAAATACATTTAAGTTATAACGGGTATAATGATTGATTGTACAATCAAATAAATATATAATAACTAAATAAGAATCCAAGAATATGAGAGCTAGGTGTTTTAAAAGGGTAAAAGTTAGTGGTCATACCTATTAATGGCTCTTATTCTCGTTGATTAACTTAGGAATGCCGGCCACGCCATCATAGGTTAGCATATTATACACGAATAGATAAGAGAAAGCAAACATAAAACAATAACTGAAAAAGTTTTTGTTGTTCATTGGGAACCAATCATAGCAATAGAAGCCGATGTCTACTTCGGACAGACTCTCCAGGAATGTCATTACCTTGAGTCGGGTCCGGACTGTCATCACTCGCTTGACCAGTATTGAGTAGATTATTGAATAGGATTTATGGGCCGACTTTGACAGCCTCACACATATTATATTGATAGAGAAGCACACGTTCAATAGGAATATAATGTTGGCCACATAGCCCACCCGATAGTATACATTGTCCAGTTTGACGTGACACACGTACGACAATATGATAATCAAAGGGGTCCCGAAATAATAGATATAAAATACAATCATTCGCGTGAATACATTTTGCTTAAACACAGAACGGGTGACTTTTACATGGGAGTGGATTGCCTCCAAAAATATATAAGTATTCATTTGGTTGTAGGAAATAAGCATTTTCTCGTTAATCATGTTGTATTGATATCTGAGATACAAAGCCGTGAAATAAATGATACAAAAGGCGCCCAAAAATACGGCAAACGTATCAACGATCCAAAAGTATGTAATGGTGTCCCAGAAGGCCATACTTATTATGGAGAACTCCATTTCTGGGAACAGGACGTAAGTCAATACAGAGACTACTACCAGTGTTATGTAAATGAAACCAGTGGCCACTATGAATGCAATGTTGTTGACATATTTGCCAATTATGTTGATATGCATCAAGAACTTTTCATTGTATTTGACATTCAATTGGTTGACTTTCTTAGTCTTGATGTCATTGAAGAACGTGATGAACGCCAGGTTGGAGTGAATGTCAGATAAAAACAGATAATTACCGAACAATAGATTCGTAGACATAATGCAGATGCACATGAGACCTGAAATCATAACCTGATCGCCACATAAACGGTTTGCGTCGCTCATCAACGATATGATCCTTTTAGTCGGGTATAGACAGGATATGCCGTATCGGATGCCAATCAATAGACACATGAGTTTTATGAAACCGCAAATCAATACTCTTCTCCTGGATCTCCTCCCTTTCAAGTGGTCATCAAAAGAGGCCGAAATTATGACATAATATTTCGTTAAAAACTCCTCCAACTGATCGAAACCAATATTTTGGTTACTTATGAAATGCTTAAACCGATTGTAACTCTCCCTGGCAGTTAACCGAGTTTGGACCTGTTTGTAGCCCTCCCTTACATCCATGACTTTATAGCATTTACTTATTTAAAAGACAACTGTTCAGTTTTGGTTTTATCAATCTTTATTAAATAACTTTTTTGGTAATGATCTAAATGATGAACTGTTTAAAACTTGAATGTCGTGATACTGGCTATTGTTTTTGAACTTCAGCTACATTTCAAATCAATATTGACAATGATTTCTGAAGATTGCAAAATTAATTTATATTTTCTTTATGTAAATAATGTTAAATAAAAATTAATATTTATTTAAACTTTTGAAGAGTACATGATGTTCATTTAGTGTACTGTACATTGGTAAAAATATTTTTTATTTAAATTAATTTCATATTTATATCGATACCTTTGTATTGGTTTTATTCGTTTATTTATTTTTGTCTAAATTAAACAGCATTTCAAGAGCACATAAAAACTAATTACAAATGGAAAGCATATTTGCAGTAAGAAATCTATAAGTCCAAATTAAACCATTGAAAATATTGCATATTATATCAGTACCGCGGTATATAAAAATTATTTTTAGTACTTTTATCTTAAAAAATAATTATAGCAAAAGTTCATTAAATTTTATTAATTAAATTTAATAGTGTATAAAATTAGTACTTTCGTAAAAGATTTCCTAGATTGTATAAGTTAAAAATACTTGTAAAAAATAAAACAATTAATATTCAATTAAGAATCAAATTCATTACTAATATAGAAATACTGTATGGGTATTGAAATGAACAAGTACGTAAAACAATTTGTTTTGCAAAAAACTATAATACATAGAGTATTGATTTAAATAAAATCTAAAAACATGAACTTATATACAGTTTTATAATAAAACTTATTTCACTCAAGTATTGTATTTTTCATTCCTTTGTTATGTTGTAGTTTAACGAGTTTTGTGTAAATTACAGTTAAAGTCAATAAAAATAAATGGATTTTAAAAATTAATTTTATACCATATATACAAACATTGGCATTCATTTGATTTGAAACATTATAGAGACTTACAGTCATTAAACCAAGTTATACTACAATTCCATGAAAACTTAGACTGAAATGACTTTTCCCTGCAATGCATCGCAGCGTAAATAATGATAGAGTTTTGCATTGAAATGAAATGACATTTAAAGGGTTCACTGAATCTATCAATTCCTGTATGAAATACATATAAGAATTACATTTGAAATGTTGCAAATTTTTAACTATAAATTTAGTACTTTTTAGATTATATGCTAAAACTGAATTCACGTGTCCGTTATATAAATAGACTGCAAAAGCTATATTTTATTCCGATAATAGAAAACATATTTATTTTATTGCATATTTATTATCATGCAAAAAATATTTCATTTTTTCAATAATAGCATGTTCTTTAATAGCAAATTAATAATAGCTATCAATAAACTCGGGACTGAAAAAGTTTGTATTTAAGTAAATTGAACACAAAAAATATACTAAACCTCATCAATCGATAGTCAACATAAGCTAACTGTGCAAATATGGTGTACGCAATCTCGGGACTAAATGTTTTGTTTAAACCATCACTAAGAGCCCATGTTTTAATGGTGATGAAAATTATTAGATAACAAAAAGCAAAAATTATTGTTATTAATAAATATTTAACAAATATTGTGTCATAAATTATAATGCTAAACATATAGTAATTGTCTAATAAATATAGTGATAATGTGCAAAACGTTTTACCGATATTTTCTGATTACGGGAACGAGTTTTGGTTTGTGTAGTGGTCTGTACCTGTTATGTCTGACCAAATGGTTGTGGCCATACCCTATCCATGATTACACAGCGGGAGGTTGGGATTGGAGAGACGTTCCCCTGTACTCCGGATTAATAGGTTTGTCCTCATATTAGTATAGATAACCCGAAAGTATATTTGTCTTAAGAATCCTAGTTATTATTAATTGGTATTTACTAAATGTGTGATTAGAATACAATAATACAATGTTAACAATCATTAAATATTTATTAGTTAATAATTTATAATATAACATTATATCGAAAGTTATGTTGTAGTTCTAATTAAATTATTACAGCAAACCTTTTAATGTTAATTGTTTGTTTTTAAATTTGCAATCAAAAATATTAATTTTATATCTAATTAAATTCAACATTTATTAAACATGTTTACTCTAATTAAAGAATTCGCCTAATTTATACAGTATTAACAAGTTAATTTATGGCATAGTATCTAAATTTAGATACAATTATCAAAGTTACTTATACAGTATTAAGATATAATACTATAACCAAAAAATATCATATGATTGAGTGTTTCCGTTTAGTGGCACTCACTTGACATCCAATTATTTATGCATTGTACAGTACTAGTCTTATATTATCTTATTTGTATTAAATAAGTTTAATAGACAACAATTATCATATAAAGGGTTATCTATGAGTTATATTGATAGATACGAAATGATTGATCGCATGTTTGTTATAACAGGTTTCATAATCTTCTCACCGGGACTATTGATTGTAATCAGAGCTAAACCCAAAGAATTACAATATTATGCCGTTTTCCTAATCATACCGTTTTTAGTGACACTTATTTGTCTAATACTGCAATTGTCGCAAAAAACTGATTTATTTGATCCGACGGATTGGTATCTGTTTGGTGTGGCGTTAGGTCTTCTGGCGATTATCATAAACTTATTTTTGTTCGTTAATGAAATCAAGACATATGGCAATCATAATCAACTCATCCAAACATCCAAACTCAAGGAGGAGGAGGCCGTCTGAACGCATCCCAAACTAAATCCATTTATTTATAGTCTATATTTGTTTTGGTCTTTTATTTGACATATCATTTCACATACGGATCATTTACATACATATCATGCATATCATTTTTGCTATAGATATAAGTTGAAAAATATATTTGTTTTTAGAATAAAAATATTCAGATTATTATGAATAGATTTCTTCAAAATTCTTGAGTAGATGTACAAAAACTTTGTTTCATATTAAACACATTTGCTATATTTAAGAATCGTTTATAAAAATATGTTATTACTGTATACAAAAATCCTGTTGTTTTGATTTATAATTTATCAATGAATTAGAATATTGATTGAAAATCCTAATAGTGAATCATGGCAAAACCATTTAATTCAAATGTGCTTTATACCTTATAATCAATACTGTACACTTGAATAAATAACTGGTATCTGGTATACTAAACAAGAAATAAACATAAATATAATTATTTTATATAACTTATTATTCATAAATTCTTGAGCAAAGAATATGAGTGAATATATTAAACACGTCTACCATTCAAGCGGTTGACTGTAATTCTTATCAGTATTTGTGTGAAAATAAGTGAAACGAAAACATATTAATATTTATTCATATTCATTGATTTCAATGAGCATTCACTTAATTAGCAATTTTGCTCACAAGAGAACTACAATTATTATGATTCTCCATAAACTATTCCGAATCATTTATTTTAACGATTATTTCTCTCATAGACTATAATAAATGCCATACATTTATAGCCTAAGAAATTCTCTGTTGTATTCTCTCTGTCTTTAAACACACTCTCAAATTGATTTAATTAGCCGTGAAGTATATAAGTAGTGATGCCGGCGCTCAAAGTACTACCAATTCAAATATGTCTGCAAAACACGCACCAAAATTCATTGTATAGTATTGTTAGGGCACCAGTAGTTTCGTACAATAGAGAAACGCTACTGATCTAAACGAGTGATAACTATAATTATTTAATTTTTTCCAATTTTTCTGGTCTTTTTTGGTCGAAACACACACACAACTCATGACTTCATATCATATTTCAAAAGCACATAAAATTTTATGAAAAAAATGAAAGTTAAAGGAAAGGATTTCTCATTAAAAAGTTTTGTAACATACAAAACTTAATAAGTTTGTAACCGTTTGTTACAATTTTATGATTACTGCAAACTTGGCCTCAATTGTTACGAGTAAGAAACGAAAGTCATTTTTAAAAAGAGAAAGTCATTTATTTTTTGGGTTTTTATAAAAATATATGCCTGGTTCCTATCATTTGACAACATTTTAAAATTATGTTTACTTTCTTACACTCAACTTATTAATTAATAACTCTATGATAATAAACTATTTATTATTTTCACATAAAATATAAACTCAAGTGTCGCCCAAACCTAATGACAATTGAATGATAGTTCACATTAGGTTTTCACACTAATTATCCAAACTATAAGTGAACGTCAAACAAATATTAAGCAAAATGTTGTGTTAACGGATGAAAATTATGACCTATTTTTGTTGCCACCACTAAGTTTTGAATTAAACAATATTATGTATTAAATGCTTTCCTTAGTTTGAGTATTAATATATAAAGTTTTCCACTTAATCTCCTGTTAGTCAAGAAACAGAGTCTACTCTACAATAGGTTTTATTAATGAAAGAGATTTTGAAGTGCTTTTGACACAATAGATGCAAAAATATGAAAAGTTGATTTTGGCATTTGAATAATATTTTTACATAAATTATAAACACAATATGCACTAATTTTTGTATTCACTCATTAAATAAATAAATTCAATTACTGTAACATAAAACATATAATACAGAATTTACAATACTTTTTTTAAATTATTAATAGAAAATTATTATACTGTATATATAATTAATTAATCTGTACAAACACTTATATTAATTCAAAAAAGTTATATTGTTTATAAAAGTAATAATTTATTATGTTATTAAAATAATATTTAAAAATCATTACTGTAAATTGTTAATATGTTACGATTAAAAATAAATGGTTCCTAAAATTGAACTATTATTATTATTTAATACAAATTTGCAATTATAATTTAAAGTTAAATCATTTTTCTAGCCATTTATCTAATCAAATTTTCATCTATTACACCAGTAAATCTTGTTTATATTCCTGACACAAAATTGCCAATATTATTACATTGCTAAATCTATAATATCTCAGCGTTAGGTTCATAGGTTTTCTGTACATACAGTGCATCCGTACCCTCAGGTCAGGTCTGGTATCACAGAATATTCTGTTGAATTCAATTGCTTTTCGTTTCATTGAATAATAAATTAATTCTTTAATCTTTTTTGTAAGAAAAGCTAAAAATAAATGCAATTAAGTTTCTTACTATATAAATCACTTTCGGTATAAATCAATCTAAATATTTATTTATAAAATTTGTGTTTTCTAATAAAAGCCCAACAAATACTGAATGTAAACGAAATATCCTTCCTTTCCATTCAATATATTTTTATATTGTTTTCTATTCTTCTATACAAAGAATTTGCAAAAAATCAATAAATGGAAAGAGTTTTTGCCAACACCTCAATAGTTATGTATACAAAATATATCTAATTTAAGGCTTTCGCATAACTTTTGCTGTGAATATAAATAATTTATTCTTTTCTTTCGCTGCAAAAGCAGTCAAAAGCACTCAAAGATTTTTATTTTGAACAGAGATTTAGGCGCTCAACACACCAACCCCTCTATACTATAAGACTATGAGATTTTGTAAGCGCCGGCAGAATGTCGATCGCATGAGAATCAGTCAGTCCTACACCACATGTTATGACAATACAAATGGCACTCTTGTAGATAGCATTTCACCGAAAAGCAAATAGTTTTTCAATCATTCAATTTTTGAGACTTTTCTTTGGTTTCAGATATTTTTCAAGTATATATTGATTTGTAAACAAAATTCGGGTCTTAAATCCAAAGTTAATAATAACGAGACCTTATTGTACAGCGCTATACAGTGCAGTAATGTTAGTGTTATAGTCAGCACACATCGTATACACAGAATATTTCATTTGGCGACAGAATCTAACAGAGAGTTTGCTCTAATATATTGATCCTAAAGTGTATTCAATGGCTGCACACAATTGAATGGAGTGTCGGTGCTATCAATATATATATAAAAGCGGGTTTGGGTTCTGGTGTAACAACAATGCACTCCTCGTAAGCGCTACTGTTATATACGATTCGTGCGATTCTCTCACTAAATCTCAAATGAAGTTCATCTCAATTGGCACTCATCTGTAAAACATAACAACAAACACCACAACAAATCAAACCATAAATACACAATAAGTTTTCTCACAAAATGTGTCCGACTCTTTTTGTTCATCGCTTTTCTTATTCCCATTCAACACTTAATTTATGTGTTATTTGTAGTCATCATAAATCTTCACATATTTTGTAGAGTCCAATATTCTGTGTATAGAGAATATATACACAGAATATATATAGAAAAAGTATGACAAAAGTTGTTTACGAGTCAATTGTGATAATATTCACATCAAGTATCATATTTGCCTGTACCCTATCATCGGTGTTAATAATACTATTACAGCCTAACAATTCCATGTTTGGCATTGACACCAGGGTTATAATTGCGGTAATATATTAATTCTTATATTTTTTCTATTTTATTATAAACTAATTATACAGTTATACAGTGAGTCATTGCAATTCATTGCTATTGAGTAGTTTTTTATCGATTTGAATTATAGTATATGATAAGTATTTAAAAACAAAAATGTTATCGTTAGCTTGGTAACACATTATTATTAATCTGTTCGGAGTTTATGCGAATCACATATTTATAAATAAATTATTACAGTTTAGTCCATTTTGTAACTTTGTTTTTCAGATAATCCTCTTAATTATTCCGAAACTGACTTTAATTTTTGTCCATTAATTACATAATATGTCGCTTTTAATGACACGAAACTCATTTAATTGTTATTTTGCCAAAAAGTTCTTTAATATACTTTTTATCGCATATTTTAGAAAATTGTTGGACTATTATAAGCCAATAGATAAGTACATCTATTTATATAACTTTTCGCGAAGAAGACCTCTTTTATCAAATTAAGTTCACTATTCTCTCGCGGATTAACATTTGAGACAAATATTTATTGTAAAACACAAAAGAGCTTTCAATGAAAAGAGTGCAACCATTTATAGAGTACTAAATTATATATAAAACAAAAGCAATTGAATGCGAATTACAGATTAGGGATACTCTCTATTGAATTACTTTTCGTCAAAATCAAAGCCACCCTTAATTTGATTGAATAAATTATTTAAAACATACTTTAAAGCCAGCGATTAAATAGCTTTATCTAAATCTATATGACATTTGGCAACAGATATGCGTATTGAATGTGATTGTGTTCAGTGTGGGTCTGGTGGGCACAATCGCCGAGTCGTTTCGGGCGCTAAACATCTACTCGTGTCTTGTAATCATATTTCCATTCGGTTTACTACTCATCCAAATGACTGTCCGGATGAGCAGAAAGTCTTTCGATACGATCGATCAGCTCCTGGCCGGCGCTCTCGTCATACTACTCATGCAGATAATCGTCGCCTATCTGTTGGCCCGAGAGATACGGCACTTAACTCTTCTGAATCGAGGCATCAATTATAAGATGTGTCACATAGAAGATGGTAGTGATGTACAGCTCTGCCAAACAGCACAACAGCCCACTGAGGAGTTGGAGCAATGATGGCATTGATAACCGTTTTGGTGGGGGAGGGGAGACACAGATATAGGAGATGTGGAGCACTGGGGCTATAGATTGCACGCAAAGATTGAGTGATAAAGTGATGAACGAAATGTGATGTTCGGCCAAAATATAGTGACAATCGATATATAATAATGATTTGTGTGACGATAAGTGATGAGAAAATTTTGCTTTTGATTACTTGTTATATACTCTATATTACTATTATATTATGTGTTCGCAATTCCTGTCAAACATTTTTTGCACACTTTTTCTGTTTTTTTTGATGAAAATATATTTATTAAGAAACCTCCAGTAAATTGATGTCAAAGTTTTTATGATATTTTCATTGATCCCAATATGTTTGATTGATTAATGACTTTTCTACTCAATATCTTTTGCCCATTAAATAACTTGATTAAATCATTTTAATGCTATATTCTTGTACTTTATTCATATGTTTCTCTATTCAAACATTATTTCTTATATTTTATTTTTTGTTTGTAATAGACTTCTGATTTATATTTATTAAGATTTATATACAGTAACCTTAAGTCTAACTGAGTTTAACTGTACTCTGTATCAGTACAAAATTTATGTTATTTGATTAAATCGTATAAAATATTTTACCCAAATATAAGTTATATTACAAAAAATATTGATTTCTTTCATTACGATTTCCAAGATTGTATTTTCCAAATCTCAATGTGTTTGAAAAATATTTCCAATCCTATATTTCATTTTCTATTTATTTTATAATTTTCTCCAAAAGTTTTATTGATTAAATGATGAAAACAATCTCATCTTCTTTTGTGGGCTTTTTATTTGTATAATAAAAGCACATAAAGTCAATAAATATTGTATGAATCGTATGTTGTATTTCTATGGCTTGTGTTTGCATATAAATATCAGAATATTCTATATTTTTATGGTTAAAGTCAAATCATATTCTATGCAATTGAAAAATTTTAATATTAGAGTACGAATTCATTTAGTAATTATTGTAACAACATTTCAACACAATTTATTTCAATGTTATTTCTATTGTTTAAACCAAAAATTTATGACATTTTGACATATATTTGTTAACTCTCGGTGAATATATACCTATCATATATTACATATAAAGATAATTTTAGTAATAAATTATTTGTTAAACAAAAGCGTTGGTTTTGCGATTGATTTTATTATATTGAACAATAATGTAATTATTATAAATACTGACAATAAAAGTGTTATTTTTACTAAATAATTGAGATGAATTATTTGAAATGACTAATTTATTATTCTGTAATCTTATAGTTTAGATAATATTTTGTGATAAATATTTCATTCTTAAATTCTGTAATATTTCTTAACCACGTTATTAATCAGCGAATTATACAACAAATTAAAATATTTATGCTGTAATAACTCCTACATACATTTATGTCAAAAACAGCTAATTTGAATCTTTAGCACTAATTAGTAACTATTCATAAGTTTGTATAGATTTACAATAATATTAGACTAACAAGTAAGGCTTGATTATTTTTATTTGCAATTTATGTAAATTTATTTAGATAATTATAAGAATAAAAATAAATCCTTTAAATATAAATAGTTTTATAAGAATAAAAGATGTTTTTAAATACTGTATAACATTTATCTAGTACAATATAATTTAAAAAAATAAATATCTCTACGTAAACTTTCATTCAGAATAGTTTGCATACATTGAACTGAAATGTAGTGCATTTAGTGAATTGATGATTATGAGCATCTTTATACATAATATCTCTTTCACTATTCAAAGGTATATTCCATTTAAAGTTAAAGTATTTTGAATTAATATAAACATATAAATAAACTATTTTAGACCATATGTTTACATTACAGTTAAGTTATCATTAGAACTGTGGTTTACATAAGGATTTCATC